AATAATAATAATAATAATAATAATAATAATAATAATAATAATAATAATAATAATAATAATAATAATAATAATAAATAGTTCTAATAGTCACACGTCGTTTGCAAATCCATAACAATGAAAGCTGCATATATATTGATCAAAAGCCGATCAGTTTTTTTTTTCGACTACTTAGGTGTATGACGACCAAAACTCTTTTGCTAACAATATTTAAAATAAATTAGACTTACCTCAAAGTGTAAAGAGCTATAACCATAAAGATAAATTTAAACTAATAAAGAAACGTCGAGAAAAGTGAATTTCTTTAAAACCTGGTTAAGAGTATTTAACAATCATCATTTTACGCCTTTTGAGAATTCGACAAAAATGTCTTACACTAGTGTGGCTCGTCTATATGCCAACGTTAATCAGAACATGCCTCGAGAATATTGGGATTATGGTAAGTACCTTTTTACTCGACCGACAAAAACATTTTTGATTTAATAAACGAATTCATTTATATTATTTTTTTTATGTAATAGATAATTTACAAGTTCAATGGGGGTAAATTTGATTAATTATTGGGGGGGAATATAGTTTTTTTTTTGACATTCAATACAACCTGTTTCATATAAATGACGTGAAAGTTTTTATATTCATATATTTATGTATATTTTTAATTTAAAAACAATCAGGGTACAAGATAATTATGAGATAGTACGTAAAATTGGACGTGGAAAATATTCAGAAGTATTTGAGGGAGTTAATATTATGAATAGTGAAAAGTGTGTCATTAAAGTTCTTAAACCAGTAAAGAAGAAAAAGATTAAACGAGAAATTAAGATCTTACAAAATTTAGCGGGAGGACCAAATATCATTTCACTTTTGGATGTTGTGAGGGATCCACAGGTATAGTTTTTGTATAATGGAAAAAATAATAATAATAATTATAATAGTAATAATAAATATTTTGAACATAAAAATTATCCTTGAAATATTCTAAAACAACAACAACAACAACAACAAAAACTTTATAAGAAAAAAGAATTTGAACAAATATTTGAATATAATTATACAATAGTTGAATACAAGTTGAATAATAGTTGAATAATAGTTGTACATATATAATCGTTGTACGTAATCGTTGAGGTGAATATTTACTTGATGAATAAGATTACTAAAATATTTCTCTTGATTCTTTTTTTTTCTTTTTTTCTTTTTGATTTCTTTTTTTGATTTAAATAGTCTAAAACACCATCTCTTATTTTCGAATATGTAAATAACACTGATTTTAAAGTGTTATATCCAAAATTTACGGATTATGATGTTCGATTCTATATTTATGAACTTTTGAAGGTATAAAAAATTATATTTCTAGAAATTAATTTATTTATTATTTAGTAATTTATTATGATTATTTAATAATTATTTAATAACTTTATTTTTATATTTTATTATATTTTATTATATTTTTTTGATATTTTTTGATATTTTATTATATTTTAATATATTATATTGTACTTTTTTTTTTTTTTAAAGGCATTGGATTATTGTCATTCGAAAGGTATTATGCACAGGGATGTTAAACCACATAATGTGATGATTGATCATGAAAAACGAAAAGTATATTTTCTCATTTAATAATCTTTAATCTTTTTTTTTTTTTTAAAAAAAAAAAATCTTATTTTAATCTTGTTTTAATCTTTAATTTAATGTTTCATTTTTAATTATAAATAGTTGAGGCTGATAGATTGGGGTTTAGCTGAATTTTATCATCCAGGAACTGAATACAATGTACGAGTTGCTTCAAGATACTTTAAAGGTCCCGAATTATTAGTGGACTTTCAAGAATATGATTATTCTCTTGATATGTGGAGTTTGGGATGCATGTTTGCCAGTATGGTATGACTATATTTTTAAAACAGTTTATTATAACGGTTTGCATGATTTACATGATTTACACGAAAAGTTGTGTTCTTTATTATTAAAATAATCTTTTAATAATTTTTTTTTTCTACATAATGTAATAATAAATTATTTTTAGATTTTTCGTAAAGAACCATTTTTCCATGGTCATGATAATTATGATCAATTGGTAAAAATCGCAAAAGTGCTTGGAACAGATGAACTTTTCACATATCTTGATAAATATGACATAGAGTTAGATACTCAGTATGATGATATTTTGGGAAGGTATGCTTGAATGTTAATAATAAATATGGATTAATAATTATATGGATTAATGAATATGTATTAATAAATATGGATTTTTTATTTTTATTTTTATTTTTTTCTCAGGTACCCACGAAAACAGTGGAATAAATTTATTACCAATGAAAATCAAAAATTTGTTTCAAAAGAAGCAATTGATTTTCTTGACAAATTGTTACGATATGATCATCAGGTTATTATTATTTATTTATTTTAATTGAATTTTATATTCTTGTACTAATTTACTTCTATTATCATTATTTAATATTAGGAACGATTAACGCCTGTAGAAGCCATGGAACACGCTTATTTTGGTAAATCAAAAGTTACTTTTTATTATTATTATTATTATTATTATTATTTTAATTCATCTTTTAATTTATCATCTCTTATTTAATTTATAGAACCAGTAAAACAACAAAATCGAACTGATGGCAATGGGACTCGAGCATAATATTCAATTATTTGAATTATTTGTAACTTTTAGATTTTTTAGACGCCAAAAAAAAAAAAATAAAAAATATAAAAACTGGCGACACCGAAAACTAATGGACAATGAAAAATTGTGTGATAAAAGAATCACAGGGATATTTTTAAAAAAAGAGGTTTTATTTTTGTTTTAGGGTTGTAAAATCTATAATTCACTTCTAATGAGAAGAAGTGAGAAGACTATTTTTTTTTTTGCGCAAATTCATTATTTTCCTTCTTTTTCTTTTTTTCTTCTAAAAAATTTTCTGCAGCAGATTTTGGTTTTTTTTTTTTTTTGATATAGCACATACATTGTAACTAAATATTACTACTACTATCATTACCTTTTTTTATTTATTTATTTAAAAAAAAAAGACAGCATATATTTTTTTTTTAATTATTATTATTATATTAAGCAATCAAAAAAAAAAATCCTTACATTTATCACGTGTATTTGAAATGAATCATTCTTCATTCTTTTTTTTATTCTTGTTGCGATTGTTGTTGTTGCTGTAAAAGCAATAGTTTATCAAATAAAGCTTGATTAAATTTTTCGCTAAATTTAGGACTGGTATTTAATAATAATGCTTCCATAGTTTCAAAAGGTTTATTAATCCGTTTTTCAATTTCAATATCATTATTGGGATATATATCTGTGATCTGTTTTAATAATAATGTAATTAAGTTAATAATGATAATAATTCGAGTCCGAAAGTAATATATATATATATACATACTATGAAACCTATCTCTGTAATTATAATTGTTAATTGAATGTTTTCAAGTAAATCAATTTGAAATTTAGCGCCTTCCTTGGGACTCAGAATCTTTATAGAATTCGGTTTAATGCCATATTCATATTCTTTTAGTATATTAGTTATTTCTTGAGATATAAATTTATCCAACATTTATGATACCAATGATCTATGGATGATCAATCTAAAAATTTATAAATTTATAAACTTTAAAATTTTTCACGAAAAAAAAAAATAATAATAATATAAAAGCGAAAAAAAATGTCGAATACCAAAAAAAGACAACATGAAGAAACCAATTCTTTAAATAAGGATGAAGTAACTACTTCAGAAATTAAAGAATTAGAATGTGGTATATTTAAAAGCAAATCAAATTACAATAATTTTGAAGCATTACTTGAATATACTGAGGTTTTAATTCTTATCAATTCTTCTAATTTGTTAAAAAAAAAAAAATTTTTTTTTAATAAAAAGTACAAATACGAAATTTTAAATTAAAATTGATATAATTTTGACATAATTTTTTATAGCACGAATCTCCTATTGTTATTCATGCTTCTATACACGCGCTTCATAGATCATTCTTGCCTCTTCTTTCTAAAGGAGAGTTACAAAAACCAAAAAGAACAACAAAAAAATCAAAAGCGGTTGTCATGATTTGGCTTCGTGAAAATTATGTGCGATATGTTAATAAATTATGCTCTTTACTTGAACATGAAGAACCTGCTTTACAAGTAATTAATCAATAATTATTTCACAATATGAAGAAATCTGAAATTATTAACCTTATTAACTCACGAATTATTGAATTTATTAAGATTCCTGCATTAAACATTCTTTTAGATCTTCTTAAAACTGAATCAACTTATCTTACTGCATCTTCAGGATCTCATCATTTTTCAAATAATCATTATTATCGAATAGTGGAGGGACTTATTGATAATGAAAATTTTAATGAACAATTGAAGGAAGAATTTTGTGAAAAATATTGGAATATTTATGATGATTTAAGATTTTATTTTCTTAAAGATGCTTCGTATGTGCGAATCAATTTATTTATTTATTATTTATTAATCAAAATCAAATTATTATTAATGTTTAATTGATTTTAATAGTAAAATAATTAATTTAGCAATGAATAGTGGAAAACCTAAAGATAAATCAGGACCTGTTTCAAAGGTGAAATATCTAATACTGAATTTTAATATTTAAAATTTTCATAGAAATATTTTTAAAATAGAAAGATATATAAATATATACTTGAAATTTTTTAGAAAAAACGTAAAGAAGAAAAAAAACCAGATGATGCCAAATTAAATAATTTAATGGAGAATACACTCTCTATACTTGAAGGATTACGAAAAATTCCAACTATTCCTTCAGAGATTAATAATTTTTGGACAGTTCATCCAGCTCCTGGTATTGTTTTGAGTCAATCTATATAAATAATACGAATAATTTACTTAAAATAACAAACTATTATTAATTTTTTTGTAAACCTTATTCACAGAACTTTTGAAAAAGCAAGATACCAATATGAATGACACGAATGATATGAATGATATGAATGACGCGAGTGATACTGAACTTTATGATATTTTTTTCGAAGACGGTGATTTTAATATGGAAGAAAAAGACAAGAAAAACAAAAAAGGAATAAAAGAAAATAAAGATTCATCCCACAATAATAATAATAATAATAATAATAATATAGCAGAGAATAAATTACCAATCTTATTACAACTTTCTTATCATCGAAGAGTATTTTCTGATTGTTGGTTGGCATTATTGAAATTACCAATGACACAAGAATCATACAAGAAGGTTCTTTTAATTATACATAAAAAAATAATACCTCATATGTCACAACCAACAATGTTAATGGACTTTTTGACAGAATCATATAATGCTGGTCAGTTGATTTTCACATTAATTGTCACATTAATCATCACTTTAATCATCACACGTCAATTGTCACTTTAACATTAACATTCATTCATTTAGGTGGGGCGATTAGTATCTTAGCACTTAATGGTTTATTTACTCTTATCAGCGAACATAACTTGTAAGATTATTATTATTATCATTATTATTTTTATTTCTATTTGAAAATTTTTTCAAATGTAAAAAAAGGAAATATTAATTCATTTCTGGTTTTATTTTTTTTTTAGGGATTATCCTGATTTCTATAAAAACTTATACAATTTGTTTGATAGAAATTTGATGCACGTGAAATATCGGGCCAGATTTTTTCGTTTAGTGGATCTTTTCTTATCTTCTACGTATGTTTCCCCATTTATTCTTATTTTTTATATGAAGTTATTGTTATTTAATTTTTATTTATTTGTTTATTTATTTTATTTATTTTAGTCATCTTCCCGTTCAACTTGTTGCATCATTTATTAAAAGAATGTCACGTCTCTCTCTTACAAGTCCACCTCATGGAATTGTAATAATTATACCAATGATTTATAACCTCATTAGAAGACATCCAAGTTGTATGGTTTTAATACATCATCCACCTAATTCAACATCATCCACAAGTGATAAAACAGGTAAATTCCATCTATGATATAACTATGACATTTATTTATTTATTCGAATAATAACTTATTAACATACACACGCGCGCGCGCACGCACTTATTTTTAAAGATCCTTATGATTTTGATGAACCTGATCCCATGAAAAGTAATGCGATAGACAGTTCTTTATGGGAGATGAAAGTAAGATTTTTTACTTGTTTGAATTCTTATTCATTATATTATTCCATATTTAATAATAATATTTATTTATTAATAATATTACTTCATTATATTATTATTATTATTTATTTACATTTAAAGACTTTGCAAAATCATTATTTTCCAAATATCGCTACTTTGGCGAAAATTTTCCAAGAGAAATTTACAAAGACTTCATATAATTTAGAAGATTTCTTAGATCATACTTATACTAGTGTAAGTGTAAATCATCATTCATATTATTTTTTTTTCAGTGAAATTAATTAATTTATTTAATAATTTTTTTTTTTTAATTCAAGTTATTTGAAACTGAGACGAAACGTAATAAGTCAAAAAAGAATCCGAAGAAGCTTGCTCTGGCTTTTGAAAAGCCAAAACTCGTCTTTCCAGTGGTAGAAAATGAAAATAAGGAGAACGATGATGAAGAAAACGAGATAAAGTTAATCAATCTGATGAATGGTTGGGAAATTTTTGAGTTTTAATTTATGGTTTCTCTTCACTTTTTGTAATTTTAATCTCAAGTTGATAGTTAATTTATAATTAATGAAATTAACACATTTGGTTTAAAATGTATAAAATCGACGTATTGCATAATCTAAAAATTTTGTCATCAAGTATCGTGACTAAAAGTATAAATTGATCAAACTTATTTTGTAACATTGTCTTTTCTCTCTTAAATGTTTCTTTCACGGTTAACTCGGCACGCATCTTATTTTCAGACCCGAAAATCCTTCAATAATACAACTCCTAAAACACGTTTTCATATTAAATCTCCTAATTATGATGAAAAAAAAGAAAAAAATAACCCATCTCCTCCTCCAGCACAAAACCTTGAAAAACCTCCCGTTTCTGATACTATAGTACCTACTCCCATGTCTACTGCTTTTCATAATATGTTTGATGATACATTTACAAGTTCTTGGACAATGGTTAGAAAAGTGACAAAAAATGGATTTATCACTACAAATGATTTATATATAAGAGGACCCGTTATATTATTAAATGGGGAAATATTTTTATGGGATGTTCCTCAAGGTGTTGGATTTGGACATGGGAAGGATAGATTAGGTGGAGTATTTAATGAATGGAAAGAAGATTTTTTAAAAATATATGAAATTATTACTCCAAAACCTGGTATGATTCAAATTATTTATCTATTTCTCTGTTTCTTTATTTTTTATTTTTTTTTTTTGTTTATTTTTTTTTTTTTTTAGAAATTTTATTTATTATTATTTGCTATAAATAATTTTCCTAAAAAAAAAAATAGAACTTTTAATTTTTGGAACGGGAAAAACCTTTGTTCCAATTCCTTTAGAAATTCGAAATTATATTCATAGATTAGGAATGCAAATAGATAGCTTGGATACGGTTAGTCAATATGAACTGAATAATAATGTTATATTTATAATAATAATAAATAATAATGCACTTTCAATATATATATATATATATATTTTGATCAGGATAATGCTGTTTCAACTTTCAATATTTTAATAGAGGAAGGTCGAAATGTTTCTACTGCACTCTTACCAATTCGTCCAACAAGTGCCCGTACTGGAAAACCTTTAATATAGGAAATACCATTAAAAAAGGGAATTGTGTCAAATATTAAAGGTAAAGACGTTTTATTATTTTTTGGAGGTTAACTAAATAATTTTCAAATATGATTATCCAAAACCAAAGGAATTATTATTATTTTTTTTTTCATGACATGATCAAAATGCTGTATATTTATCAATCAAAAGTAATAAGTAAAAATAATATCCTATAATTGAAAAATTTGTTATTTAATGAGATATTTATGTATTCGAATCTGTACTATTAATAGAAATGTATGAAAATAAATAAAATAAATTGAGAAATATTTTTTTTGATTTCTCTCTAGATCGGATATAAAGTAATGATTTTGTATTGAAGGAAGGATACCAGAATCTGAAAAGGTTTTCCACTTTACTAAAGGAATAAGAAGAGAAATTGCTGTCCAAGCTACTACACAGTTAACCTTTCAACCAAATGCTACTCTTGAACAAGTCATTGAAGTTGCAAGTCAAATTGAAAATCACGAAGAATTATATCCTGAAACTCTTGTAGGATTTTATAGTCAATATCCTAGTGTTTCCCGAATGAATCAATACCAATTGAATAATACTCAACCCCAACAAGTTCCCCCCATTCAAAATCCTGTTGTCAATGATAATATTCTTGCAGTATTGCAAGCATTAGGAAATTTAAGTTTGAATCAAAATATACCGCAGAATAATAATGCTAATAATTATAGTCAAAATTTAAACCCTTAAAGACAAAGACCACCAAGAGATCCTGCTATGTGCTATAAATGTAGGCAACCAGGACATATTGCAAGGAACTGTCCTACTAATCAGCAACTTATTAATAATGTAGTGAATTCTACTCCTCAACCTGCAGTACTTAACATTTATTATTATTAATTATTATATTTAATATTATCTAGTAATAATTATTATATTAATATTATTAGTATTATATTATTTATAATTATTAGCAAATAGTATTTTGTAATAAAGTAGTTAAAATAATATAAATATATCCCTTATCCCAAATAGTTTCAGTAGTTTTACATTTTTTAATTTTATATTTTTATAACTTTAATTAATTGTAATTCTCAGAG